AATCATACGATGGAGTTTTATTCTTCTTTATTTACATCTGAAGGCACCAATGGGGGTGAGGAGCTATTACAGTATGTCCCCCACTCCATTTCAGCAGATTCTAATAATTTGCTTATCTAACCTGTTACTGAGATGGAGATTAAAAATGCTCTGTTCCATATGGACTCTGACAAGGCCCCGGGGGAGGATGGTATGTCAGTTTCTTTTTGTAAGCATTTCTGGAGTATTATCAAAGTTGATGTGTGTAATGCTATTAAAAGTTTCTTCAGTTCTGGGAAATTGCTTAAAAATTGGAAGCATACTGTTATTACCTTGATCCCTAAGTGTTTATATCCTGAGACACTGAGTAACTATATGCCTATTTCTCTGTGTAATGTTCTTTACAAAATCATAGCCAAAGTGTTGGCTGAGAGGCTTAAGGTATGCCCAAGGTTTTAAATAGCGGGCTAAAACGTTTATGGCACTGTAGCTATAGCGGAGCTATAACAGAGATTTAGCGGGATTTAGCGGCTAAATTGCACATGAATACAAATAGCGGCACGCTGGCAAAAAAAGCTATTTCTCAAATAGCGGCAACTTTAGCGAGCTATTTATTTCCTTGGGTATGCCTCAATGATTGTATTAGTAATGCCCAAACTGCTTTTGTCCCGGGGAGAAATCTTCTTGATAATGTTGTTATTGCACATGAGGTATTCCATTTTTTGCATAGGCATAGATCAGGTCCTCATGCTTTTATGGATGTTAAACTTGATATGGAAAAGGCATACGACATAGTGGAATGGGAGAGTATTAGAAAAATCATGTCCAGGATGGGTTTTCATAGTAAATTCATTAAGTGGATTCTCAGTTGTATTTCTGATCCTACTTTCTCTTTTAATCTGAATGGTGTGAATTGTGGGCTTGTCAAGGCTACTAGGAGGATCAGGCAGGGTGACCCCCTGTCCCTATATCTGTTCATACTAGTCTCTGAGGTTTTCTCTTCTATTATGCACCATAAGATCAGAGCTGGCCATTTCAGGGGGATCAAGATTGCAAAACATGGGCCCATGATGTCCCATTTACTATTTGCTGACGATGCATTAGTTTTTTGTAAAGCTGATGAACACCATGCTAGATCCTTGTTGGATATTCTTCAGAAATACCAAGGTTTTACAGGGCAGAAAGTCAGTTTGCATAAGTCCTCTATGTTTATGAGCAAGAACTGTGGAGTTGATCTGACTGGGAGAATTTGCTCTATTCTAAGGGGATTTGTGGTGAAAAGGTCCTCCAAATATATTGGACTTTCTCTGGGTATTGGTGCTTTTAAAAGAGATGCCTTCCAATTTGTGGAAGAATCGTTCAGGGTCAGAATTGAAAGTTGGAGGTGTAACCTCTTATCAGTTGCTAGTAAGGAGGTTTTAATAAAATCTATTCTGCAGGCTCTTTCAGTTTTTGTCATGTCTTGTTTCTTGTTGCCAAAGGGTTTGTGCAAGACTATCTGCAGCTTAGTGGCCAAATTCTGGTGGATGAACAAGATTGATCAAGATCACTGTTTGCATTGAAAATCATATGATTAACTGGCTGTTCCTAAATCTGAGGGGGGGCTTGGTTTTCTGGACATCAGGACCTTGAACAAAGCACTCATTTTAAAGCAATTATGGAGGGCTTATTGATCAACCTGAGTTGTTGGTTAGTCAAGTGCTTAGATGTAAGTATTTTCCTGCTTGCTCCATTTTTGATTGGTCTGAAAAACAGGGTGGACTCATGGTTGTGGAAGTCATGGGTTTCTCTTCTCCCAGAGCTCAAATCTCATGTGAATGTCATTATCAGAAATGGTGCCGAGACAAATCTGAATGACTATAACTGGGTGCCTGGTTTGGCTGGGAAGAAACCAACCCTCAGAATTCACATTGATGGCCATTCTTTCTGGGTTAAGGACCTTCTTATTGCAGGAGAATGTAGTTGGGATGTTAATCTGATCAAAGCTCTATTTGCTGAAGAGGATGCCATTAAAATTTTGCAGATTAAGACTCTGAATCCCACGTTGGCTGACTTATGGCAGTGCTCTTTTGTGGCTAAAAGGAAATTCTCAGTCAAATTAGCTTATTCTGTGCTTTCTGCTGGGAGGGTGAGTGCTCTTGATGTTGCTAAGAGTAGCTCGATGGCTGCTGGGAACAGGAAGGCAAGATCTAGATGCTGAAATCTTAAAGTGTTGAGCAAGGTTAAGCATTTTATTTGGAGGTGTTTCTCTAACATTCTACCTGTCAGTTTTAATCTACAATCAAAAGGTTTGTACATTGACACAGTGTGCAGAGTGTGTGGAGAAGATATAGAAACTCAAGAACATGTGCTTTTCCAATGCTCCAGAGCTGTGAAGGTTTGGAAGATAGCACCTGTGCAATGGAACAGGGTCCATCAAGAAGAACTCAGCTTCAAGCGATGGTGGTGGTGGATCAGTAATATGAACTCAAAAGACATTTCAGAAGGGAGGATCCAATTATCTACCTATATTTTATGGTGGCTCTGGAAAGCTAGGAATATATGGGTGTTTGAAGGCTAAAGGCAACCAGAGGAATGGATAATTAAGGCAGCCATGCAGGATTGGCTCGATTTTGCAAGCTGTAATGAAAAGGGTTGATGAATTTCGAGACATAGCAAATGATGACTGAAGCTTGAGCTAGGCAGTGATGCAGTGGTTTTTGTTTTAGTCCTCCATGTATGTGTCTATATGTGTTGTGATGTAATAGCTTTAGGGTTTGTTGTTCATGATGGTATTTGGTAGTGGTTGATTTTGTTTTGTTTGTCCCCTTATAGCTGCTGTGGGTTGGATTAGCTTGTTGTTATCTCGTTTAGGCTGCAATATTTGTTAAGCCTCCCAGTTACCCAGGAGGGGTTGTCCCCATGTACATTACCATTTTATGGTGTTATGAGAAGTTTTTATGTCGTTGGAAAAAAAAAGATGTAATTGCCTTTTCTGTTTTCAATTACACCCTTTTGTGGACTCTTTTATGTTTTAAAAAATCTGGCTTTTTTACTATTTAATAACCGCAGAACGTTTCATCCTCCTCCATATATATATATATATATATATATATATATACATATATATATATATATATATATATATATCCTTCTTTCTCATAACCTAGCTACCCTTTTTTAATTTCATCTTCTCCAATATTTTTTCTTTTAAGATTCATCACTTAATTTTTTTAGTTTAAATTTCATCGATTTTTTTTTTTTCATCTCAAATATTTTCTCCAAAATCCACATTCCAAATATTTGGAGAGAAGTAATTCCAGCGTCACGGTCCCCCGCCTTCTTCGACCACCTCCTTCAGGACATGTGCCGCCGGCAAATTCCGACTGTGAATGCTTCGGCCACGCCTAATTTCAACGTGTGAAGATGCTGATGATGATTATGACGAGATTTTCCCCAAGCACATGCTTGAGAAAGAGGTTTTTGTTTTAATTTCATTAGCCACACATGTTTTAATAATTCTTAAAAATTGACATTGAATTGAGAATGGAGATTGAATTGAGAATGGAGATGACTAGATCAATCAGTGAAATTAATTTTTTTTTTTTTTTGTTTTTCATCTCCAACAATGAAAAAGAGTATAGATGTTATATTATTTTTAGTATTTTGAATCAAGCAATCTAAAATAACAATAACTAATATTATCATAACAATGTGAAATTGTAACTGGGTAATAATTTTTTTCGTATTGCTTGACTGTTGTTTTCTTGTTGCTTAACTGTTATTATTTTAGTGCTTTCTTGTTACATCGAAGATTTTTTATTTCTTAGTATTCATCTAATTTCTTGAATGAATATAATCTATATGTATGTATTCTATTTTATAATTATTTGTTTATTTAATTTTAAAAAATTTTCTTGCTTTTTAGTTAATTTAATTGTTATGTGTATATATATAGTCAATTATTTTTTTTTTTTCAGGAGAAGATGAATATGATGAATAAAAGGGAAGAAGAGAAAGAAAAGAATGAAACGAGATGTAATAGCGAGAAATAAAAGAGAGAAAGATAAAGAGAGCAGTTGAATTTTGAAACGATATAACTTCCTATTCAAGTATTTTTGGAATTCAGTATAGTCTACTCCTTTTATGAAATTGTTTTTTATAACTTATTTAGTTATGTATTTTTCCCAATAAATAGGCAAGCTTTCTCAAAACACTACTCATCATCATTGAAGTCCATGCTCTTGCTCTCTCTCTCTACAAGTTTCACAACCACATCGAAGACATCAATTGTCATTCTCTTTAGAAAATTCTTGAGATTAATATAGCAATTGCATTACACACATTACTGGAGAGAACATAAATCAGCCTCATATAATAGTTAATAAGCTCATCATCTTTCAATCAATACCACCTAAAAACATAAGGCACCTCCATATGTAAACAAACAATACTAGATTACATAATACAAATTGTTCATCAAATAGCAATTGGTAAAGTGAATTATAAGAGAAAAACTGAAACCGAACTCCCTTTTCGGCTAAATAAACATATACACAATAAAAAAAAAATAAAAAAAAAAATCAAGCCCAAAAACATGGAATATGAGCACGGACAAGTTCTCAAAACACATTATCGTTTGAATTAATTGCAAGTAAAAATAAAAGAGACCCTTTAATTGGTTGCTATCCCGAGCAAAACCAAACATCATAATGAGAAATACAATTAGCAAACAAAAATAACATACAAAAAATAGCATACCTGATTAGTTTCACTCTGTAGCAAATTTGATCTTTCTGCAAAACGCTCCACATCAAAGAACATATAAACAACACAAAACATAGAGAACTAAAATTATAAAAGAATTAATCTATGCCCAAGAAATCTAGATGAAAAGGATTAAGCTCTATTTTTATTCCAAAAGATAAAAATATCATAAAGAACATTTACGACACCGCCTCCTTACAACCCTCTCCAACAGATTCGGGCAACAATAACAAAACTATAACGCAACCAAATGATAACCACAAAATACAACATCTTTATTTAGCTTCTGTCGCCTTTTGATCGGGTCTATCTTCATCTGTGATGTGCACATTCTCAATGTGCTGAGTAACAATATTGGATAAACTGGGACCAGAAGCTTCTTGCTCGGCATTGTTAGTTGGACCAGTCTGCCATATTCTAATGGTCCCGTCTTCACATCCCGAGGCATATGATTTGCCTCCTGGCGAAAAACGAACGCAATGGACTGGACCATGATGCCCCTTGTTACAACTTACGAGCAACCAAAAGATGAAAAAAAAAAAAAAAAATCCGAATACTAAAAATACAAGTGACAACAACATATTTGTTACAAACAAATTGCACTAAGAAATTAAAGTTCAAGGTTTTTGTTTTGATGCCTTAAACAGGGATATTTGTAATAAGGATGGTTAGACGACAACGTAAGCAGCCAATTAAAAACGCAACCATCATAGCTTAAGAAAACTACAGCCAACTCACCAACTTCTGCTCCTGAGTGAGAATAAAAAATATATATGCACATGTCCTCTCCACCTGCAATAAACTTGTTACCATATTCTGTCTCCAAAGAAGCTGATTTCACACCACAGGGCATTTCGTATGAGAACATCACTACGAGGAGCCTAGAAACTACGCTAATTCACCAACGAAACAAAAAACTAAGAATAACCCACACGGAAAACAACAACTCCTACAGGAGGAGAATCAACAGCGACGAAGTAGAAAACAACAAAACACAAAAACTAAAGAGTAAATTGCATTTTTAATCTTGTATGTTTCACTACCCTAACTTTTTCGTTCTCTTTGAATTGCGTTTTTTATTTTCGTCACGTATGTTTGCAAAAAAGTTTAGAAAAAGGTCCTTTTTTGTAACAAAAAAGTCCTTTATATTTTGTAAAAAAAAAGTTCCAATTTCGTCCCTTATGTATGCGAAAAACCTTTTTGTAACCATTTTGCAAACATAAAGGACGAAAATAAAAAACGCAATTCGAATAGGACGAAAAAGTTGAGGTAGTGAAGCATACAGGCCTAAGAATGCAATTTACTCAAAACTAAAAAAACACAAACACAACAACACAACTAATAAAAATAAACTAACACCTTCTTCTCAGTCAGACATCAACAACCACAGCCCGACAATCTATGGATCTATCAAAAAGAAATTGAAGATACAGAGAGAAATTGAACAAGAAAAGAAAATTGCGTGTATAGAATTAGGGTAAAATGAGAATCAGAAAAGTGTTTACAATTGAGAGAGGAGAGGGTATTTATACCAACCCTAATAAGACTAAAAGTGCTAATAAGGAAAACAACTAAGAGTGTATAAAACACACTTTCTGTACAAATATTGTAAAGGTGCTAAAACATATAAAATGGTGTATATATATTCTATTACCCCCCCCCGCAAGTGGAGCATGGATATTGGGCATGCTCAACTTGGAGAGGAGATGATGAAACAAAGGCCCAGGTAGGGGTTTTGTGAGAAAGTCAGCAGGTTGATCCTTTGAAGAGATGTGATGAAGCTGCAACATTCCATTAGCAATCTTTTCCCTTATCAAATGGCTGTCCAGCTCAATGTGTTTAGTTCTTTCATGAAGGATGGGATTTGTGGCCATGGCTTGAGCTGATTTGCTATCTGTAAAAACTGAGGCAGGAGAAGAAAAAGTAATACCCAATTCTTTACAGATATTGATAATCCATTGAATTTCACAACTAGTAGCAGCCAGAGCCCTATATTCAGCTTCAGCTGAAGACCTACTAATAGTAGGTTGTTTCTTAGACTTCCAAGAGATAAGAGAGTTACCAATGAAAACTAAATAAGCAGTAATGCTTTTTCTAGTATCTAAGTATGAAGCCCAATCACTATCTGAAAAAGCATTAATTGATAATGAAGAAGATCTGTGAAAAAGGATACCTTTACCAAGGGTACCCTTAATGTACCTGAGGACTCTATAAGCAGAGCTGAGATGTTGCTTTGTAGGATTAGACATATGTTGACTGAGGGCTTGAACAGAGTAAGCAATATCAGGCCTGCTTATAGTCAAATACAATAGTCTACCCACTAACCTTCTGTATTCAGAGGGATCAGATAATAGGTCAGAAACATTTGCAGATTTAGTTAATTTTAAAGTAGCATCCATAGGAGTATGAGCAGGTTTACAACCTAACATGCATGTGTCAGTTAGTATGTCAAGGGCATACTTCCTTTGGCACATATGGATACCAGTTTCAGAATGAGCAAATTCAAGACCCAATATGTATTTCAGTTGGCTCAAGTCTTTAATGGTGAAGCAATTATGAAGATGAGTTTTGATATCAGTGATGCAAGACATGTCATTTCCAGTCAAAATCACATCATCCACATAGACAAGTAAAATGGTAAAGCTAGTACCCTTAGTCATATAAAACATGGAATTATCAGCACATGACTGGGTGAAACCATAGTTTAAAAGACAGGATGTTAACTTATGAAACCATTGCCTGGATGCCTGTTTCAAACCATATAAACTCTTGTTTAATTTACAAACTCTCTGACCAGAAGAAGAACAGTATCCAGGGGGGTTTCATGTATACTTCTTCAGGTAAATCACCATGCAAAAAGGCATTATTAACATCCAATTGATGAATGAACCAATTTTTTATGGATGCTAATGCAATGATAAGTCTCACAGTTGTAATTTTAGCAACAAGAGAGAATGTGTCAAAATAATCTATCCCTTCTTCTTGGGTATAGCCTTTTGCAACTAATCTAGCCTTATACCTTTCAACTGAACCGTCTGATTTGTATTTAATTTTGAAAACCCACTTACAACCAATGCAATGTTTATCTTTTGGTAATGCAGTTAAAGTCCAAGTGTTTGTTTGTTCCAAAGCAGTTAATTCTTTTAACATAGCTTCTTGCCATAATGGATCTTTTGCAGCTTGATTGTAAGTTTTTGGTTCTTGTAAAGTAGAGATGGATGCAGTGAAACAACTATGAGAATCAGATAAGAGAGCAGTAGAAAGATATTTAGAAATAGGGTAATTGAATGTACCAGGTGTGTCTGAAAGTGAATCTGTGACACAATTAGAGGAATGATTGCTGTGTAATGAATGTTGATAGAGGTCCAGATAGGCAGGTAATTTGGATATTCTTGTTGATTTTCTGAGAGATGGGGATGAAATAGGTTGTTGTGGTTGGACTGGGGATGATTGTGAATGTGAAGATGAAGAACTAGAATTGTTTTGAGGAACAGGAGAATTTTGAGATTGTGTACTGGTTCCAGTAGGTGGTTGATGTATAGGAGAAACATTTGGATTGACATGGGTATTTGGAGGATGAGAATCAAAGATAAAGTCTGAAGATGGTTGAGGGAATAAAGGGGGTGGCTGAGAGTTAGTTGGCAAAGATTGTTTGAAAGGAAATTCACTTTCATAAAAGACAACATCCCTGGAAATAGATATCTTCTTGGTATCCAAGTTGTAAATTTTATAACCTTTACAATCTAAGGGATAACCAAGAAAAATGCATTTAGATGCCCTAGGATCAAATTTATGCCTTTTAGCCAACAAAGTAGATGCATAACAGAGACAGCCCACAACCCTTAAATGATCATAAGTAGGTGGCTTATTATAAAGTAATTCAAAAGGAGACTTGTTATTTAAAACAGTAGAGGGTATTCTATTTATCACATGAACAGCAGCAAGAACACAATCCAACCAGAAATGTAAAGGGAGATGAGCATGAAAGAGGATTGCCCTAGCTACTTGTAAGATATGTTGGTGCTTTCTTTCTACCCTAGCATTCTGCTGGGGTGTTTCAACACAAGATTTTTGATGCAATATGCCATATTCAGAGAAAAATTGAGGAATAATAAACTCTGTGCCATTATCTGACCTAATGGCTTTGATTTTCTTATCAAATTGAGTGAGAACCATATTATAGAAATGTAAAAGATGTTGTTTGGTCTCAGACTTAAGCACCATAGGATAAATCCAAGTGACTCTACTAAAATCATCCACTATTGTTAAAAAATATTTATGTGCAGAATGAGAAGGGATTGAGAATGGTCCCCATATATCACAGTGGATTAAGTCAAAAGGATTATCAGATTTTGAAACACTTAGAGGAAAGGGAAGTCTTTTCTGTCTTGAAAAATGACATACATCACAAGCAGTTATGCATTTTGTACTGTTCTGAGCAACAGGTAAAGTATACAATTTAGAATAGGAGAGATGTCCTAGTCTATAATGCCACAATGTATTGTCTGGCAACAAAGTTTTTACAGGTAAAGAAGATTGTACATCAGTAGCAACAGCAGTAATATCAGGGGGAATAGTGGTATGTGACATGTTAACAGGTGAAGGAGATATGGAATTAACAGAATTAGATGAATGATGCTCATGTGCAGAAGATATCTGAAGAATGTACAATCCATCAACCAAGTCAGCAAAACCAATCATTTTGTGGTTTGTTAGGTCCTGTAAAATGCAAGATGATGCTAGAAATTTTATAACACAATTATTGGAAGCAGCAAGTTTGGAGACAGAGATAAGATTGAACTGAAATGATGGAACATACAATGCATCATGTAATGTGAGTGAGTGAGGGAGTGAGACAGACAGTGCCAATTTGTGATGCAGAAGTAGTATTTCCATCAGGTAAGTTCACAGATATTGAGGTATGTTTGACAGATGATGTAAAAAATTCAGGAGTGCAAGCATGTGATCTGTAGCTCCAGTGTCAAGAATCCAAGTATGTTTATTCAATTTTCTGTGAACTGTGCATGCTAATGAGTTAGGAGTACCTGAAGCATGAGCAAGAGCAGTAGCCACAACAGTGGTGTTCTGTTGAGTTTGTTTCATTTTCTGTGACTTTTTGAATGCTAGGAAATCACTAAACAAACTGTCAGTAATTGTGGTATTACCATCAACAAGTTCATCATTGTTATGCACAGTGGATGTATCAGAAACAGCAACATTGGCAGAGTGTGAATTTGAGGATCTTGGGCCCTTTGGCCCTACCCAATTTGGAGGATAGCCAACTAACTGGTAACATTTGTCATAGGTATGACCTAGGTAACCACAATGAGTGCACTTAGGTCTTTTTCTGTCCTTTGAAAAGAAAGGCTTAGGGGGTTTGGTGGTTTGATTGGACTGAAACTGAGTTTTGGCCAACATAGCAAGAGAATCAACTGAGTTTTTAGAATTGTTAGACAGAGTTCTTTGGCTCTCCTCTTGTAACAGTAAGGAATAAACTGTGGACAAGGATGGAAGAGGAGTAGACAACAGAAAATGGCTACGAAGGGATGAGTATGAATCATTCAATCCAATCAAGAATTTCATAACAGAATCATTATGCTGAGCAGCAGTCATGGACTCAAAGATATTGCAAGAGCATGATGTAAAGGCACCACATATCCACTTAAAAATTGGCCTATAAGTGACATATTCGTCCCAAAGAGACTTGAAAGAGTTATAGTATTGGGTGACAGACAGATTCCCTTGATCAATAGTACTCAAAGATTTTTCTAATTGAAAAACATGAGGACCAGTAGAGAGTGCATATCGAGACTTAATTTCAACCCAAACATCATGTGCAACAGAAAAGAACAA